CTCTCTCTCTCTCTCTCTCTCTCTCTCTCTCTCTCTCTCTCTCTCTCTGTCTCTTTACCACTCCACGACTAATACTACTCTCGCGAGCTACGTCGAGGTGTCGTTGAGTTTTCATTTGAGAAAACGCGCCTCCCTCCGTGCACTAGCCGCGCGGGTGCTGCCAACCTCATTTCGTTAATAGACCTTCAATCTTTTCAATCCTTGTCTTCCTTATTATCTCACTCGCCTCTTCGTTTTCGGCTACTCGAATTGTTTCGCCGCCTAATTTGTGCCGCACCGGTGCAAGCAAACTCTAGCTCGTAGCCGCGCGCCAACTCCAGCCAATCCAATTGCCAATAATGAAAATAGAATTTGCAATTTTTTCGTAGTTAAGAGCTTATTCGCGCCACGATGAGTATCTTATCAGCAAACTATTTCCCGAATAATTGCCAGTCGAGGGAGCGAAAAATCCCGCTCTTCGGCTACGAACTCGAACTTGCGTGCAATATCCGCGCGCCAATTATACAAAATTCGAAAAGCCGCTCGAAGCCAAGCGCGCACGTATTCCCAGCATTAAATCGAGCAATAATGTAAGGAATTAGCGAGTGCGAATGTGCGCCAATAAAAAGTGCTAAAATGTATAACTCGATTTTTGCAACGCGATTCTCGTGAAAGACGACTGAAGCTCTTCGAATCGAGCACCCGGACCCGGGCACTAAACGCACAAACGCGCATCCTCAGGAAGCGGCCTCTCCGCGATCGCGCCGATTATGGGCCATAGGGTTGAAAGCGTGTTATGGAAGAACGACGACGTTGACGAGGATGGTTCAGGTGACGGTGGCTGTGGCGGTGGTGATGGTGGTGGTGGTGGTGGTGGTGGTGGTGGTGGTGGTGGTGGTGGTGGTGGTGGTGGTGGTGGTGGTGGCGGTGGCGGTGCCGGTGGCGCTGACGATGGAGACGAGGGTAGTGGACGAGGCGACGAAGGTGGTGGATGGGTGATTGGATGGGTGGTTGGATATGAGTGGGTGGTTGATTGGATGGTTGGTTGGGCGGAAAGGAGGGAGGCGGTGGCGGTGACGGTGACGGCGGCGCGCGCGCCTTGCCGCCGCTGCCGCCGCCACTGCCACCGCCGCCACCGCCACCACCGCCGCTGCCGTCGCTGCCGTCGCTGCCGTCGCTGCCGCCGCTGCCGCCGCTGAGCCGCCGCGCGCCGAGCCGATTGATTCGCCCGCTCGGTAAAGTTCGGCCGCGCACGGTAGGTTAGTTGACCGCGGGGCCGAGGAGGCGAGCGCCCGAACAGCTCCTCGACAGTAGGCCGGCGACGTCACTGTGGGCCGGTTCGAGGCGAGCCTTTCTAACGCACCCCCCGCCGCTCTTCTCTCCAACGTAGCCTACGACACGTTTTTTTCATTTCTCGATTACAGCCGGGCTCTCCTAAACCATTCGCTTTACATGTAGCAAGGTAATTAATATCGATAGGCTCGAGACCCAGATGCATCCCTGGCCAGTTGGTATCCCGCACTTCCTTAGCCCTGGTTAAGCCCGTGCTCCTCGTCGCTCCGATCGCAAGCTCGATTTCTCCTCGCCGTCCCTCCCAATTCCCGCGCTAACGTCGCCAGTGTCGAGCGCGCGAGCGAGAAACGGCGCAGGAAGCGCGTAGTGCTTTTTCGTCGTCGGCTGATTGAAAGATAAAGATAGGAAGAGAGTGAGTGAGTGAGTGAGTGAGTGAGTGAGTGAGTGAGTGAGTGAGTGAGAGCGAGTGAGCGAGAGAGGGTAAGACGAGGCGCGTGCATGCGTGCACGCCCGAGCGGACGAGAGAATGAATAATGATGGAAAGGGAGAGGGAGATAGAGGCTTGGACGGGAGTGCGGCGCTATTTTTAAAGGACGCGTTCGTGAATATCGACAATGTCATTCTCGTCCAAGTGTACGCGGGGAGCGAGGCACCGCAGGAGCAGTTGTACAGAAGGTGAAGACGAGCGCTTTAAGCGTTAGTGACACGGATGCTAAGAGTGTACCGAGGTCGATTTCCCAGTGCATAAGCCGCGACAGTGCGAACGATATATATATATATATATATATATATATCGAGAGAGAGAGAGAGAGAGAGAGACAGAGAGAGAGAGAGAGAGAGAGTTGGAAAGGACTGGGTGTGGAGTGGTTGCAGCCCCCGGGATTCTTCGTGGCCGGTGAGTGCCATCGTCGTAGCTTTCAAAGCGAGCACGTGAAGGCCAAGTGCGGAGGAGGCGGTGGTGGAGCTGGAGGAGGATTATAATGATGAGGTTAAGAATGAGGATGCGGATGGAGCTCGTGTATACGCGTTCGCATTGTGCCAAGTTTTCGCGATTCGCCGATCCCGAATCTATTTACTTGTCGCGCGTTGCGATCGAATATGCGCGCGCTGTGCCTCGTCCCAAATGCAATGTGTTGTGCAGAATTGTGATAGGCGACATTAATTTTGCCAAAAGTCGCTGTGATAGTACGCGATACTTGTTCATGAATCCACGTTCGTACCTAATCATGTCGATTCGATAAATATTTCTTGTCTGTTTAATGCTAAAGCTGGCCTTGCATATTTTCACACGTCTAGTCGCATTTTTTTTTCTTTTTTGTTTTTGCACCCAAATTGCCGTCTGTTTTGCCTCGCGGTACCACTGTTGCTGCTGGTGCTGCTGGTGCTGGTGCTGGTGCTGGTTCTGATGATGCCGCTGCTGCAAGATGCACACTTTTCACCGTTAGCTGCGCTCCCATTCTAATAACGATTCGACTCGGATAGCCCATTTCATACAAATTATATTTAAGACCGCTGCGCTATTATTGATAAGTCTGCTCGTTTATTAAAATCAACGCTACGAGTGCACGATTTTATGTAAAATTGGACAAATAAGTTGCCTCCTAAAGTAAATAAGTGCCAACGAATTAATTGATCTTAGCGAGTATCCACGGTTACGGTTATATAATTTCAAATAGACCTTTTCGTTATGCATAAAGCATAATTTTAATAAAAAATACGTGTGTTTTAATATAACGAGGAATAATAGCGTTTGCAAACAGCTGGCAATATTTTATTTTCGACAAGGACGTAGTGCGCGTTTACTTTGGTGCGTTTATTACTTTCATTTTCTTTTCTATCGGAAATGCGTGTGCCAAATGGCATTAGGCAATAATCGCTCGTGTTTAAGATTGTAGTCGATATATTGTTTCATTACATTTGCTTATTTGTAGGAGGAAAATGATTAATAAGATAACTAACGTGGCATAATATTAAGAAACTACTTGAACAAAGTGAACGATAATTATTGCTATTATAGAAAGTATATTATAGTTCTATGTGTTTTTCATGCTAAACTCACCCTTGACTTTTACTCTTTAATACCGCTTTCATAATTAATATTGCTTGTATTCGTTGCCTACTACCAACAAATAATTGTCACATGCACAATGTTAAATAAGTTTTGTTGATTTTCAACGAGAGTATTATCAAAGATTTCATTGTACCGCGAACTTGCGGCACGGGCAATAATGGATTAGTAACGTTAACATTTCACAATAGGAATTTCATATGTAAAGCCGTAATTATATATATATATATATATATATATATATATATATAAATATTTTGTTTATTGAAAAATAATTTTTTTAATAATGAAAAAAGGTCTTTCGTATGTATAGAATCGAGTGTAATGTAAGAAGATTTTGTCTTTTATTACGCTTGATAAAACCGACTAATTTTATGTCAAGTCGTTGTAAAATATAATTGAGAGAAATTACCGTGTCTGCTTTTTTTTTTTTTTTTTTTTTTTTTTTTTTTTTTTTTTTTTATTAATAAGTAAATAAGTATTTTAGCTTAAGAAAGGATGGAGCTTGCGCTTGCTCTCTTGCTATAAACAGAGAGAAAGGATCGATGTTTAATCAATTATCATTGATTAGCATTACATAACATTGGAGCAATTTCATGAAAAACTTTATGCGCGCACAGAGTTTCGAATCCAATTTATCGTCGCCCATTTGCAAGAATGCAAAAACGGAAATAAACAAAAAATTTTTATCCGCGAAGAGTATTTCGACCGTTATATAAAAACAGCAGCAGCAACAACAACAACAACAACGACAACAACAACAACAACAATAACTATACTACTACTACTACTACTACTACTACTACTACTACTACAATAACAACAAAAACAAATATAAATAAATAAATTAATGGAAGACAATAACAAATAGAGGTTTCATTGTATTTTTTTTTTTTTTTTTTTTTTTTTTTTTTTTTTTTGGCAAATCAAGTGCCACGATCAATAAAGCAATTTTGAGTGGCGCATAAAAGTAAAAAGATATATCCGAGCGTGGGAGAGAGAACGGGACTCGTAAATACGAATTCGCTAAAGCTCGTGTGACCTTGTCCACGCGCGTTCGCGCGTTTTGGCAGCCGACGCAATGCACGCAATTCCGTTTTCCCCGCGTGCACGCGCGCATACACGGCGCGCACCAACGCTCGCACACGTGTACGTACGTGCATGCGGAACGCGCGTGTGCGCGCACTTACGTATGCCCGTGAGTCTATATATATAGATATATATAGATATCCGTATGCCCGCGCGCCCGAGTCCCTCCGTACGTATTTGCATGCGCGCCTTTACACACTCGCGCACATGTACATACCTGCGTGCATGCGTTCTCACCTACTTAAGCATGGGTGACTCTAGCCCCGCGTGCGTGTTTGCGTGTGCGCCCGCGTAGCGAGCGTAATATATTCGAGCGCATAGATGTGTAATAATATGCATACGCACGCGCGACTACGGCAACGGTTTGTATTTTCGCGGAGTGTCGAGGAGCGATGAGCCAAAAATCTCTGGATAGTTTTGAAATTTTCTGCTCCTCGCTTGTCCTTTCCTTCTCAGTTCTTACCACTTTTCAAGTGTAAGCTGCCGTCTATTAAGTCCTTGCCCAATCATTACAATCACTCACTCACTTCTTCTTTCTATTCAAATTTTTGTAAACTTTATTGCTCGCTCGATAGCAATAAATAATTTACAACAAATTATCCTCTTATTTATCCTCTTATTTATCCGAAATTAAGACCAAGTGTTGATTTCTGCATTGAATTGTCATTTTTTAAGATCCGAGGATGAGAAGTTTGGACGTCAACGAAGTGATTCTTGGAGCTTTTCTTCGGCTTACTCTCGTCGAGTGTATGGTTTTGAGAAGATTACAGGTGAGATATTATTTTATGTATCTTATATACGTATGCGCTATGCTTTGTGAAAGAATTTTTTACGATCTACGCACCCGTGAAAACTAATGCATCGGATAATTTAATTTATGACCTACTCCACTATTACATTGGTCATTACCATTTACATCGTATCGGAAAATTAGCAATATTCTGCTTTATTCCACGGTTAGTGTTTTGTCATTTTTATGTCCAAGTCGACATAATACGAGAACTCAAATTAACTACCAATATAATGATGCCGCAGTTATTTATACAAAGGCATGATTATATCGATAATTGTGCGTATGCCTGCGTGTGTGTGCGTCACAAAAATCGTAAAAATATTACAACAATAAAGCGTTTTCTCATAAATGATATATGTCCGCTTATAATCGCGTTAAAGTGCCATCGAATGGAAATAATAATATATCGGTCACATGCGCTATACAGAACGTTTGCAGTCAATACTTTCAGTTTTATTTATATCGATACGTCGGCCTGTAACGAAAGTGAACAAAAACAAAAACGAAAAAAAAAAAAAACACAAAAAAAAATGAGAGCTTAGTAAATGAGTATAAGTTAAAGGTAAAATACAACTTGACAGCTGCTACCCAACAACTTTTCACAATTGCATTCGAATCTAGGAAGAGATGCATGGAAAGAAAAAAAAAACACGTTTGGACATATTTGAGGGCCTTCTAATGTCAGTAATGTAAATAGAATAGACATTAAGTCAGTGCTGGGTGACGCTAAGATGTAGATTAAAGAAATGCTTATTTAATTAGTCAGTGCTAATAAAGCCGAGAAGTATAGGTGACGTTGACCAGAAAAATCATTCAAAGCAACATCGACTCGCCCAAAGTCATTAGAAACAACAGGCTCAAAAGTTGACTAATACAACTTACGCAAAACACTAATTATAAAAAGGAAAACAATATTAAGAAAATCCACGTGGCTCTAAATTTTTCTTCAGGCGCAGATCCAGTCAAGGTGTTTAAGGCGAACGCATAATTCGATGGACACATCGAAGCGTTCGTAGCGTTAACGATGGGTGGGGGATGTTGAGGGCTGAGAGGGTGACATTGGTAATGGACCCCGGTATTCCATCCGGTCTCCAGCACTCCTCGTCCTGCACTCTCTCGGTGCTTTTTCACTCGCCAGCTCACGCGTTACGAGGCTGCCTTTTTTTCAACGCGCGAAATTTCACTTCCCCCGCCGCGTCCGCCCTTCT